TGCAGGACCGCTAAGGTCGTCTCTGCTCAGCGCCGGGGCGTGGGCCGAGGAAAGAGGCTGGGGTGGGGCCCCTGAAGGCCGCCTGAGCGCAGTTTACTTCAGCCGGGGTGTGACCTCTGAACCGGGGAGGCTCCCTTGCGAGTGCTAGCTCCACCTGGCGGAGGGGAGGCGCGGAACCCCCGCGGGAGCGCCCCGCTAGCCGTGGGGCGGCGAGCGCTCCATTTGGGTGGATCTGTGCTGACTTTCAAGTAGCGCCGCCGCGGACTGCGCTTAGTTTGCTCTCAGTGCCGCCTGCCCACGGCCTTCTCTTTGTTTCACCAGCAGCGGCTCGCCAGTGGAGGCCGCCGTCCAGTGTGGAGGCCGCTTCTCTTAGTGTTGCCTCTCAGCGTTCCTGTGTCCGGTGGAGAATGTCTTCATCGCCGGCTTGACTCTCCTTCCGTGCCAACTCCTATCCTGGGGCATTTGGGAAATGCCTCCTCTGGAGGAGGGATGCCATTCCTAGGGGTAGAGCCCGTCCTGGGGACTGACCTGCTAGGTCAGTCTGTTGGCAGAATACTCAGGGCAACCTGTACTGGACTGCTCAACTCTGTTTTAGTTAAAATATTTCTTACCAGCTCATGGAGGATTCACATGCACTTATAACACATAATACAGAGATCGCCGTGTACGCTTTACCCATTTCCCCCACCGGTGGCATCTTGGAGAGTTGTAGTACCTCGGCGCACTCAACATACAGACTCTTTCCTCTGCAAAAGGATGCCTCCCATCGTCCTTCCAGTGCCAACCACCTTCCTCCCCCTCCATTGCCCTGATGCCTGGCAACCACTAAGCTGTTCTACACTTACAGAATTTTGCCATTTCAAGAATTCTATTTAAATGGAATGACATAATATGTAAGCTTGGGGGACTGGCTTTTTTTCCCCTGAAGCATTGTTCTCTGCAAATTCGTTCAGTGTGTTTACTTTGTAAACCCTGACCACCTGTTTTCTCTACTAGGAAGTGAGTTTCCAGTGGTACCAAGGTGTCAATACTTTGTTCCCTTTTTATTGCTGAGTACTATTCAATGGTATGGATGGATGTACCATAGTCAGTTTAACCAGTTACCCGTTGAAAGGACTGGAGGGTTTCCACTCAGGCTATTACACATCGCATTGTTACGATCATTCCTGGGCAGGTTTTTCTACAAACCTGGGTTTTCATTTCTCCAGGATAAACCCAGAACTGCAACTGCTGAGTGGTATAATAGTTATGTATTTATTTAGGGCTTTAGGAAATGCCCAGACTGTTCGCCAGAGCGGCTGTACCATTTTATGTTCCCACTAGTAATGAATTAGTGGCTAATTTCTTTGTTTCTGAGGTGTAGATATGCATATCCTGGATATGTAAAAACCCTGGAATTCTTATCTATATGGAGATGGATATGACTTTCCTGGTTGTATGAACCCTGGTTTCCTTCTTCCTTGGATATGGATATATAAGTGTCAAGCTGTGTAAGTAGGCCTCCTTCATCTTTCGGTATGGATGTGAGCTTCCTACCCGGTGTAATCCTAGCCTCTTCATCCTCGGTTAGGAATATGAGCTTTCTGCTGAATAAATCTGGACTTCTTTCTCTTCATCCTTGGTTCTGAGTGCAAAATTCTTGGACCTATTTTTAACAGAGGTTAATAAACAATCACCTTTTAAAATATTCCTTATGATTGTCCTATTTATCAGTTAAGACCTTTGTGTGAAACAGCTAATTTTGGAGCCAGTTATTGTAATTTTTACTTATGACATAAACATTGTGAAAATTGTCAAAGTCAAAATGCAGTCACTTGTGTTAAAAATCTCTGACGAATAGAGATAAGGAAAGCCGTAAAGGGAGAATTCTCCTGCATAAATGTCCCAAAGGAAGTATCACAAAAGTGTCCACAAAAACCACAATCTTGCACAAAGGCCATCACAATCTTACAATCTTACACCTCTGTCAGAACATCTGCCCAGCAACTGCCTGTCCAAACTTGGACTGGCACCACCCTTGTTGTTACTGATCCTTGTAGCCAAAATAATTACCTAAAAACAGTGACACAATCCTCATTTTTCCTTTAGAAACCTCTGTCTTCCTTTACTTTCCTAAATACTCGCATAGTTAACTATGGCACATATGTTCTCACTGAAATACCTATTTCTGAATAAACATAATTTCTTTTTGCAGAATCTCCTTCTGTGTTTTCTGTTTAGGTTGACAATATAAATTTGTGAAAACCATAAAATTCATAAATAGACCGTTATCAAGAATTGTACTTGTCTATACATTAAGGGGACTTTACATGCTTTCATCCTTACCTATTTTATATAAATATATATATAAAATACTAGATATAAATCAATTGGTTTGGTAATTTCTTCTCATATTTTACATATTTTTAATTAGTGGGAGCGTCAAAGCCTTTTGCCTTCACTGCAAATGAAAGCATGGTTTGTATTGGTTTAACAACTACTTTTTGGCCCCTAAAATCATTTGTCCTTATTGCCAAGAAAGAAAGCTGAAATTATTCACTAGTGTATGTAAGAATTACCTGAAATTCTATATTATTTCATGAAAACAAAGTGATTTATTTGTATGTTGCATTTTAAGGGTAATAATTGAATAAAACTAAAGTCAGTTTATAATAACCTACACAATCACCTTTTGTTCAGACTACATTAATGGACATGCTACCCTCTCTTGGGGAGATTTTGTCACCTTCAGGATAAAATGAAGAAAAAGATTTTAAACCCAAGTTATGGTGATATAGAAGCCTCATACTGTATCTTTTTTTAAATTTTTGGACGGAGTCTTGCTCTGTCACCCAGGCTGGAGTGCAGTGGTGCTATCTCAGCTCACTGCAGCTTCCACTTTCCAGGTTCAAGCGATTCTCCTGCCTCAGCCTCCCAAGTCGCTGAGACTACAGGTGCCCACAACCATGTCTGGCTAATTTTTGTATTTTTAGTAGAGGTGGGGTTTTGCCATGTTGGCCAGGCTGGTCTTGAACTCCTGACCTTAGGTGATCTGGCTGCCTCAGCCTCCCAAAGTGCTGGGATTACACACATGAGCCATCGTGCCCAGCTTCATTCTACATCTTTAAAATGAACATGTATGGCTAAAGAAGCATTATGTTTATTTGAATGCTATTATAATATTGAAGTTGAAACTTCAATATGATTAAAGGAAAGAAACCATTTTTAATTTCTCTTAAGGGGTTATTTTATTTTTTTTTTTTTGCAAAGATAAAGAGGTCTGTCTTAAGAGCACAGTGAATAAATACTGTCATTTAACCAGTTAATTTTTACAGCGTTCTTATCTACTTGTTTATCCATATTGAGTTTTTAAAAAATCAGTTAATTTCTAGATTTGTGGGTTTTTTTGTGTTGTATAAATACAACCTTAAAAGACATTGTTCTGTGTTGTAATTCCACCCTATGTACAAAGACATTTCATTTTAGGACCAGTAAATGTTAAAGCTAATAGAAAACCACGTCAACATTTACTTTGTTTAACTCCTTTTCCAATATTATCATTTTAATTGTTTATTTCCAATGCCTAAAATTTGTTATTAATGATAGAAGAATATGCAATTTGTTCAATTTAAAGTATAGCATAATATGAACTTACTTTATGATATTTTAAAGTATTTTTTCAGTATTCTTCAGTATTTTTTTCAGTATTTTTTCCAGTATTTTTTTCAGTGTTTTAAAAAATTGCAAATACATGACCTTAAAAATTCTAGAGAAGAACAAATAAATATTCAATCTTGTATTTACTCCTACCTGTTCTCAAAGATGTGTATCCATCCAGTCCTCTTTTTACAGTGTCACAAATAATTAAATATGTGTATATGCTTTTATATTTTTACATAAAATATCCATAGTATTCTATAACTTACTTTTTCATGTAACATTATATGACAAACATCTACCTTGAGTCAAGTACCCTAGAAAACAGAGCTTAAAGAAAAAGCTGATGTGCTCACTTATTCTCAGGTAAATCCCAGAGAAATAGGAATAAGGGAAGAAAAGAGAACAAATATAATGGGATACATTACTGGGCTGACTATGTGGGTGTCAGTTGCAACTGACTGCATGATCTCATGGGATCATCTTCCCAGATGTTGAGTAAACTGTTTCATGTCAGGACAGTTAATCTCTGAAATGAAGGGAGAAAAGTGTATCTATTAGCTCAGTCTCCCACATGTGAAAAGTTCATTCTCTGTACAGGGCATTCAGTTCCCCTGTGATTCCAGATTACCAGTGTGTAATCTGGTAATTACTTTTACCTTAAACTTAATTGTGATATTAAGTTCTCACCAGTGTGTGAGAACTAAATGGATCCCCCTGCCCTGCCACGAATAGCTCAGCAGCAACAGAAAATCCCTGGGGGCCTAAGATGGACAGTATAGTAATGTCTGAGAAAGTGAATTGTCACCGTAACACCAGGGTAAAACTAGGGCCTGGACACAGGTACTATCAAAAGAATCTGATGTGCTACTATGTATTGATGACTGAAACATGCTTTTCTGGGTTTCTTGTGCCTTACAGGTATAGCTCATACCTTTGAATGGCTGAATAGTACTTCATTGAAGGAATACACTACAAGGTATTTAAATAATCTAATAATATTTGTAATGATAATAAAGGAAAAAGGAAATAAGGCAAGGTAGGATGGGAAAGGGCAAACTATTGTCTTTGGTCTTTAGACAGGAACTTGTCAATGAATTCTTTCATCCAAAACTCCAACCTCTATTTCCTACCTCTAACTCACTCAAGATCCAATCCCATATGCATTCTTCCAATTCCTGTTGATACATATTAGCTAGGTCATGAAATGCCTTTAGCATGGAAGCTGGGATTATACTTCCGTGCACAAGTTGTGTTAAGACGTGATCTGGCTATTGGCCTAGAAGCAGTGAGAGATGATAATGTTACACCTTGAGATCATGCAAATTTACAATTTCAGTGTAATCATTACACAGTCTCCAGGCAAGCAGAAACTGTTCTTCTCTGGTGAGGAGGATGAGGCTGCTTGTATCAGCCAGGAAATCTCAGGAGAATCCAAGGGTTCAAGATTACAATGCTTATCCACCTAAATGTCATTATCCCAGATACTAATGGTCTCAATATTTTCTATCTGGGTTTTGACAATGACTTGGGAGAATGCTTGCAACTGTACATTTAGTTCTGTTTACATCTCTAACAAGGCCGTAAATGGATTCCAGTCTTAATTTTTCACCACAGTCTGTCCTGAGT